TTTCTTTGCATGATAGCTTATTGTGTGGTGGTGAGTTTTTTCACATTCGTTGTTGTACCCACATATTGAATCTCATTGTGCAAGAAGGTGTGGAAGTAATAAATGAGCCATTGAAAAAAATTAGAGATTCGGTTAAATATGTGAAAGGCTCTGAAAGTAGGATGAAAAAATTTGAAGACTCGATGAATGCGGTTGGTAATATTGATACAAGTATCGGCTTGAGACTTGATGTAAGCACTCGTTGGAACTTGACTTATTTAATGTTAGAGAGTGCAATTAAGTACAAAAGGGCCTTTGCTTCTCTTCAATTGCATGATGGGAACTACAAATTTTGCCCTCCAAGTGAAGAATGGACGAGAGCGGAAAAAATTTGTGAGTTCCTTGAGCCTTTTTATGAGACAACCAACTTGATATCCGGTTCTTCTTATCCTACTTCGAACTTGTATTTTGTGCAAGTTTCGAGAATTCAAAAGATATTGATGGAGAATGCCTCAAATGAGGATGAACTTATAAGAAGCATGTGCTTAAATATGTGGGGCAAGTTTGATAAGTATTGGGGACAATATAGAGAGGTGCTTGCATTCGGGGCTATCCTTGACCCAATGATTAAATTTCAAGTGTTGGAGTATTTTTATAGCACGGTTGAGCACGATCCGGCAAAATGTGAAGAGGCTCTCTCACATGTGAAGGCAAAGTTGTATCAACTCTTTGAGCATTATGTGAATGCTACCGGTCCCGGCTCTGGCTCCCGCTTCGGCTCCCATTCTTCACATACACAACCTTTTCTGCCTCCGTCTACAATGCCTACTTTGCAAAGTGGATCGGGATCAATCTTCAAGGGAAAAAGAAAGTTTAGTGTAAGTATTTAATTATTTTTTATTGTTTTATTGTTTTTTTTTCTTTTTTTTAATCTTTGTAGCCTACAAAGTTAATAAACGACTCTTATTTTTTAATAAAATATTTTGTTTGATGTAGGATATTGTGGCATTTGAGAGTCGAAAAGTTACTAGTGCCGGGAAATCTCAATTGGATCTCTACTTAGAAGAGACAAAACTTGATTTTTCATTTAATGAGGATTTGGATGTTTTAGAGTATTGGAAAAGTTGTAAGAATCGATTCCCGACACTTGCATTGATGGCACGTGATGTGTTTGCCATTCCCATTCAACCGTTGCCTCAGATTCGGCATTTTCTATTGGTGCTCGTGTGCTAAAAAAATATAGAAGTTGCATCCTCCCCGAAAAAGTTCAAGCTCTTATTTGCACTCGTAATTGGTTACATTGTTATGTTGTTGGTAAGGTTTCCAAGCTACTTTATTTTGATTTAAATTTGTATCTTTCTTTAACTATATTTTATGTATATTCTTTGTAGATAATGATGAACGTGCTTACACAAGAATTTCATCAAATGGAACATCACAATGTCCAACTATTCTTGAAGATGGTGATGATGATAATGGAGGAGGGAACGAGGATTTTAATAATGTAATAGTTGATGATCTTTGAATTTCTTTATGTTTGAATGAGGGGTACTTGGAAAGTTGATATCTTTGGACTTTAAGTTGTTTTATTTTAGTTTCGTGATTTTGGGATTATGAATCTATGATGATTGATGAATTGTGATGAGGAACTAGGAATGATGCTTCTGGTTTGGATTGTAATGATTTCATGATTTGTGATGCTTTTGTGACAAGGAACTTGTGATTGTGATGTTGGGATGATTCTTTTGGGTTGTGATGATTTGTGATGTTTTTAATTTTTTTCATTATGATTATTGTGGTATTTTTATAAAGTTTAGATTATAGGATTTTTTATTTGGTCACTACAGCCTACAAGTTTTCTTATTTAAGTCTACAGGTTTTTAATTTCTTAGTTACAAAATTCTACATTCAACTTTTTTTTTTTTTAATAAATAGAGAATTGGGTCGATGCCCATTCCAACCCAACATTAAGTTTCTAAAGTCTACATTCTAACTCAGCAGCCCAGTAAATATAACTTCAAAAAAAAAAAGAACGGGCTGGCCCGCTGAGCTCGCGGCCCGTGGCGGGGGTGGGTTGGGCTGGCATTTTACAGGCCCGCCAAGATGGCGGGCCAGCCCGCCCCACCCCGCCGGCCCGTTTTGACAGCTCTACTCACAAGTACAACTTAAAATAAGATGAGGTCATTATCTACATGATAAATCAGCAAACATTCAACATAAGGGTGCAGTCAAAACATTCAAATAATGTGGCAGCATTTTGAGGATAACTCGAGCTATAGTCATGCTATTCAGATGATTCCAAAACCAATAAGTAGCTAACACATATATTCACAACTTTTGTGTTGATCAGTTAAGCCAAAAATAACTA